CTGCAGATCGACGGATTCACACTCTATGAGCTGGGGGAAACCGGTGGGTGAATCACTGAAGATCAGGAACTCTGTAGAGTAATCTGGAGAGAGCGGTGTGTGTGCGTGTGCGTGCATGCGTGCGTGTGTGCGTGCGTGTGTGCGTGCGTGTGTGCGTGCGTGTGTGCGTGCGTGTGTGCGTGCGTGTGTGTGTGTGTGTGTGTGTGTGTGTGTGTGCGTGTGTGCGTGTGTGTGTGTGTGCGTGTGTGTGTGTGTGCGTGTGTGCGTGTGTGTGTGTGTGAGTGTGACGCTGGTAAATCACATGTAATAGTTTGACAGTGTGGGCAGAGACGTCTTGAGTGTGTTAAAGCACTGCGATACACATGCCGACACACACAACATATAAAGGGTTTCGCTTCAGTCTTCCTGGAAACTCTTGTTGCTGAAGTTTGAGCTTTGCGGTGGTCTTAATGTGCTTCATCATCATCATCATCATCAGTGCAGGAGCTGTGCAGGTAACAACAGCTTGTGTTTCTGCAGGGAAACTGGTGGCCATCGCAGTTACAGACGACAAAGACCAGAGCGATCACAGCAGCAGGTACTCGATCAGCAGCTGCACCTGTGTGTGTGTGTGTGTGTGTGTGTGTGTGTGTGTGTGTGTGTAAAACAGCAGAATAATGACATAAATGAAGATCTTACGAGTCGTCGAGGTCCAGCACCAGCGCCAGCAGCACCCGGCTGAGCAGCACAGAGGACACAACTGCGAACACACACACACACACACCACAGCATCACACACACACCACAGCATCACACACACTCTCACAGCATCACACACACTCTCACACCGCGGAATAAAGCAGAATAAAGCAGAATCCGTACCCGCTCTCAGCAGCGCCATGGCTCCGTGTCAGAACAGCATCAACAGGAAATGCGAGCAGCGCGCATGCGCAGGGAGACCGATGCGCATGCAGCCTGGGCGCGTCTCATCACTCGCGCGTGTTCCCTGAGTAGTGAGCGACACTAGTGCACTACACGGACAAATATAGGAACTATTTTAAATATTCCCCAATACTGAAGTGTGAATCCTCTGAGCAGCGCGGAGGCTCCTGCTGTGTAAAGTCTGCAACAGCAGTGATGTGAGCGCCCTGCTGAAGATGAGGTCAACTGACGGACATATAGCAGAGATCAGCTCAGCTCCTGTGATGTGAACTAGGCCTGAGTGTAGAGCTTAATCCAGACAGAAGTGTGTACAGCAGGAGTGTGAGTGTGTGAGTGTGTGTGTGAGATCCTCCATCACAGACAGCAGAGGGCAGCAGAGGATCAACACGCTGAGCTTCTCCTCTGTGTGTGCAGTAATGCCAATTTAGCAATTTTGCTGCTAGATACAGCCACTGCTCATACTACCCTAGCAACTTTGTTTATTTAAAAGCACCAACAACACATGCAGCAGTTTTAACATTCATTTGGTGACTTTAATCAATGATTAAGCAGTGACTCAGTAGAGCCGTGGCTGCAGGTTCACTCAGTAGTGTACATCGCTGGCTCAGCTTGTTTCCAGAACTGTTAATTCACTGATATTTGTTAACTGCTGGTAATTCAGGAAGCAGTTAATGCCAATAGTGCTGTAACTGTGGTCACTTTCACAAACGTGTTCATTTCACAAGTTAAAGAGTAAACACACCAGCTGTGGCTGCTAACAGAATAGCTGTGCATTATCAGCGTTATATAAACTGTTCTGATCAAAGAGTGTCTGCATTACTTTTACCAATACTCTACATTTTTCACACACAAGTAAATGCACATCTTTCAGATGCTGTTTGAGCTGAGGTGGCCGGTCCATTAGCGAAGACACTGATTATCTTGTACATGAAGATATGGTTTGAGTTGTGATTATGCAGTAATTTCACAAAGTAATGTGTTAATAAGAGCCTGCTGATTGTGCATCTGGATGTCATGTTTGATATAGTATAATACACGGCGCCTCAGAGAGAAGACATGATGCGCTTCAGCTCGTCAGACACTACGCCATGACATCACTGATATGCAAATTAGAGTGTGACATCATCTGGCAACACAGCAACTTTTCATTATTAATAGTAGGCAACACTGTGTGTGTGTAATGTTGTTCAGTTCAGTCTGTCAACCATCACACACACACAGGTGGAGGATTGCACAACACTGTATTCACGCACTGTAATTCTCCAACATCTGTCATCAATCTCAGAGGAATCAATGAAAACCCTCAGAAACATCTTTATACCCTCATCACTGAAGCCACACACACAACCTCATCTCTCTTTCAGACTCAGCATTAACACACACCTGCTGCTTTTTCTGGATTAAACTGGACCACAGCCGCTTTTTTTGTGTGTGTTTGTGTGTGTGTTTGTGTGTTTGTGTGTTTGTGTGTTTGTGTGTGTGTGTGTGTGTGTGTGTGTGTGTGTGTGTGTGTGTGTGGTCTGCCTGCCAGGAGCTGCTGCATCTGATCATTATATCTGTAATTGATTCTGAGATCAGCCTGGACACTCAGTGTGAATATTAGTGTAAACTGTACCTGCGCCTGTCACGGATCACACACGTCTGAATCAGTTTATTGATCTAATCAGGAACATTAATCAGAAGCTGACGGACATCACAACGACACTTCTGCCCTTTCAGGAGATTTCTAGAGTGTGAATGAGTGTGAGGAGGAGGAGAAGAAGAAGAAGAAGAGGAGGAGGAGGAGAAGAAGAAGAAGAGGAGGAGGAGGAGAACGAGGAGGAGGAGGAGGAGGCCGCACGACTGCTGCACTCAGATGATCTCAGTAATCATGATGAGGATGAAAGCGCTTGTCATTGGGAGACGTCGTCTACATCATGCTGCAGTTTGGGGGTTTCTGCTGTAATCCCGCTCTCTGTCCTGCAGACCCACTCTGAGATGTCTGAATAGATCTGGAATGACCCGTGTGTCAGAGCAGCTCATTCTCATCATCTCTGGCTCATTATTATTGGACTGTTTCTCACTTGAACACACACACGTCTGCTCAGAATCACAGCAGACCTTCAGCTGGTCCACATGGCCCAGTGTGTGCGTCTGTGTTTGCTGTGCTGGGCGCTCGGGCTGCTGGCAGCTCCTCTGGAGAACATGAGCTCTGCTGACAGGCGGTCCAAACACCCTGAACACCCGGAGCCCTCACAGGCTGTCCTGCAGAGGCAGAAGCGCAGCTGGGTCTGGAACCAGTTCTTCGTGCTGGAGGAACACACCGGCACAGACCCGCTGTACGTCGGCAAGGTAAGACCCCGCACCGCTGCTGTTTATCTGCTGTTCAGAGATGCTAAATCGAGAATCCGAGAGTTTCTCTCTGACTCCGCATGTGATGAAGGTGTAGAGCGTGAACATGAGACGATGACAGGACAGAAGCTGTCTAATCCTGCTGCTCTGCAGCTTCATCTCAGAATTTACTAGTTTGAGCAGAGCCGGCTTCCCCTCACACTGCCCTACATCTGCTGCAGGCTTATTAGCAGGAGACTCTGTGAAGCGCAGCTCTCTGCCTTTGACTGACTCTGGGTCAGTTTTGACTGACCGCTCTTCATGCAGAAACACCAGCGGCAGCTCAGAGAACAGCGTTCACAAGAGTCAAACACTGGAGGCAAGAAGAGGGGAAACAAACCATTTCAGCCGTCAGACATTACGTTTAAATTATGTTAAAGACATTTAATAGATGGAGGGTTTAATCCATAGTTTGGCTGTGAGACAAACTTTAAACTCACACTGAATGAGTCACAACAACTCAAAAACCAAAAGATTAATAATATAATAACAACAACAACAACAATTATAACAATAATAATAATAATAACAACAATAATATTAAAAATAATAATAATAACAACATTAACAATTCTACTACTACTACTACAACTACTACTACTACTAATAATAATACTAAACAACAACAACAACAACAACTATTATAACAAAAACAATAATAAAAATTATAATAACAATAATAATAAGAACAATATTAACAATAACAATGATAATAATAATAAAATAATAATAATAATATAATAATAATAATAGTAGTAATAATAATAATAATATAATAGTAATAATAATAATAGTAATAATAATAATAATAATAATAATAGCAGCACTGCAGTTCTCTGTTTCATTAGTTTGCTGTTTGTTCTTGTCTAAATGTAAAAGCACCTGACAGCTGTACGGTGTGTATCTGTGATGTACATCAATAAACTGAATGAGAGTGTGTGTGTGTGTGTGTGTGTGTGTGTCTGACAGCTGCACTCGGATGTGGATTCTGGCGATGGGAGTGTGCGGTACGTGCTGACGGGCGAGGGAGCTTCATCCATCTTCACTATCGATGAGGAAACGGGTGATATTCATGCCAGAAAGCGTCTGGACCGCGAGCAGCAGGGCTTCTACCGGCTGCGGGTTCGAGCGGAGCACAAACTGACCCGCGTTCCACTGGAGGACGAGAGCGAACTCATAGTGAAGGTGCAGGACATCAACGACAACCAGCCACGATTTCTGGAGGAGGCGTACAGCGCAGCGGTGCAGGAGAACTCTCCACCTGGTAGCGCGCACGCACGCACGCACGCACGCACGCACGCACGCACGCACGCACGCACGCACGCACACACACACTACGACCAGTGTAGTTGATCAGTTCTCCTATAGCGCATGTGTTTGGACTGTGGCCGAAACCGGAGCACCCGGAGGAAACCCACGCCAACACAGGGAGAAGATGCAAACTCCACACAGAAACACCAACTGACCCAGCCGAGACTCAAACCAGAGACCTTCTTGCTGTGAGGCCACAGGGCCTTTCTAAAAATGTGCACAAATTTGTGTAATTGGGTTGTAATTATCAGCAAACACCTGACTGGACATCACCTGGAGTCTGATCACAGGTGTGTGTGCGTGTGCGTGTGCGTGTGTGTGTGTGTGTGTGTGTGTGCAGGCACTCTGGTGGTTCAGGTTTCAGCAACAGATGCAGATGATCCCACTTACGGCAACAGCGCCAGAATAGTCTACAGCATCACACACGGACAGCCGTACTTCTCAGTGGAGGCCAGGACAGGTAACCTGACTTCCCTGATCATTTATTTCAGAATCGTACCTGCGGCGTCGACTAATGTTGGCATTAAAATGATTTTTAAGTTAAATGTTCATTAGTTAGAGGAGAGGGCCTGTCCTGCCAGAGTTACTCTGGATCCCTGTCCTGCCCGGAGCTGTTAAGGATCCCCGTCCTGACCGCCAGACTCAAGGGTCTCGTCCTGCCTGCTGCAGCTGATCCTACAGCAGTTCTGGTGGAGCGCTTGCAGAATCACGAGCATTACTGTGGGGAAATATCAGCCTGTTATTAGACTATGCAGGACTGACATCATTTTCAAATGACGTTACGAGAACGTTTTTACCTGTTGACGTTGTCATTGCACATGGAGGCTGAATGATGTCTTTGTTTCCTCCAGGCATCATACGGACAGCTTTACCCAACATGGACCGAGAGCTGCGGGACCAGTATGTGCTGGTCATTCAGGCCAGGGATATGGAGGGTCAGATGGGCGGCCTGTCCGGATCCACCTCAGTGACGGTCACACTCACAGACGTCAATGATAATCCTCCACGCTTCGCTCACAGTAAGACAACAGAACGTCTGTCGTCAGATTCTTTCCATCCTCTTCTTTGAGCGTGTTAAAGCACATGTATGCCATGTTTCAGGTCAGATTGAACTCGCTGTTCTGTATTTTGTATTGCGTTTAGCTTCTTATTCTACACTTGTTGTTATTTTATGCCGTTTTCCTTTTCTCTCCCCTTCAGTCATTGTTTGTGTTGTATTGTTGTTCACGGATGTAATGTTAGTTTGTGTTTGTTTATTTTCTGGGTTCTGATCCATTCTAAGAGCCTCTTGGGTGTTAACGCTAATAAATGAAGTAAACGAACCTGCATGTTCGGTCTCCTGTAGAGCGGTACGAGTTCTCGGTGCTGGAGTCAGCATCTGTGCTGTTAGCGGTGGCCAGACTGAAGGCTGCAGATGCTGACATCGGCTCCAATGCAGAGCTGGACTACAGTATAGTGGATGGAGACGCAGCCGGAGCTTTCAGCATCAGCACTGATGAGGAGACACGAGAGGCAGTCATTATCCTCCAGCAGGTCAGACCACAGTGGCCAGCAGGAGAAATGATTCATTAGACTGATCAGAGATGCCCGTATCCGCATATCAGAGAAGCAATAGCTGAGGTTTAGACTGGTGTTAGGAGAAATCTCTACTTTCCCAAACCCTAACAATCCCTAGCACATCAATAGTTAACCCTAACCCACCCTCTCCCTCTCCGTCTCTCTCTCCAGCCTTTGGACTATGAAACTAAAAGCACTTTTTCTCTGAAGATTGAAGCCACGAATCGAAACATTGACCCTCAGTTTGCGACCTTTGACCCCTTCAGTGATACGGCGACTGTGGAGATTATTGTAGAAGATGTAAATGAGCCGCCGGTGTTCTCCACACCCGTCAGTCACTTTCAGGTTTCGGAGGCGGTGAAGGTTGGCACTGTCATCGGTACGGTGTCAGCCCACGACCCAGACTCCTCCAGCTCTGCTATTAGGTAAACACTTTATTTATCTTCAGGTACACGATCAGACTGCTTCTGATTCATATTGCAGCTATATTACAGTCCTCCTATGTGATAAGCATTAGAACACTGACTATTACACTGATTATCTTATATATATAGAACTGAGTTATATATATATGTAAATGAGTAAAGAGTGAAGCTGATGTTGTGATGTGTCCAGATACTCTATAGACCGTAACACAGATCTGGAGCGCTTCTTCCATGTGGACGTGGTGTCTGGAGCTGTCAGCACAGCCAAACCGCTGGACAGAGAAGCAGAACCACAGCACAACATCACCATAATCAGCTGGGAGAACTGTGAGAACCACGCATTCAGCACTTTTCCAGATACCTTCTTCACCACTTGTATTCCTATAGTTCTGTCTGAAACTGGGCTAAACATATAT